CGGGGCAAGGAGACATTGGAACCACACATCCATCTGTTTCTCAAAGACGGTCTAGTTTTCAAGATGATCGCCTCACTAGGGACCCCAAAGAGTGGAAGCTGACACGCAGGATGCACCTGGAGATGTGGGAATGCAGTTAGCTGTAATAACAGTTCATCACAGGCTTGAACTCCGGGGGATCTGTTCCCCACCCCGGACAAGAAGCTATGCCATGCACAAACCAAGGGTTGCTCTGCTCTGCGGCCCAGCAGCAATGGAGATGCTCATTCTCAGAGGCTGCCAAGATGGTTTCACCTGCAAAGCCTTGCTTATCGCCTCTAAAGGAAGACAAAGAAGACATGAGTTTCAACTTATGAGACCCTTGGGAAGAAACCCTTTCTCCCTAAGCTCTTATGAATGTCTCCTCAACACACCTTGGTAGGAATTTACTTGTCTGACGCCAAGGAGGCTGGGAAAGGAAACGGCTAACCCAGTATATGTACCAGAGCCTCGTATTCCATGCCAGCCTCATTTTCTTTTATGCCAGTGAAACTCATGATCAGTGTTTTTCCTTTTTAAAATTTAAATTAGAAACAATCTTATTTTATATGTCAGTCCCAGTTCCCTCTCCTCCCATGCCCCCCACCAACCCCCACCCCATCCCTTAATTTTAATAGTAGAAGATTAGTAAAGAAAAAAAGGAAACTCGGGTTGAAGACCTGGCTTAGAGGTTAAGAGCACTGGCTGTTCTTCCAGAGGACCCAAGCTCAATTCCCAGCACCCACATGGCGGCTCACAACTGTCCGTATCTCCACTCTAAGGGATCTGGGTCCTTCTCATGTGCAGACCTGCAGGCAAAACACCAATGTACAGAAAATAATGATAACTAAATTATTAAAAAAGAATAAAGGAAACTCTAGAATGCCAAGAGGGAAAGACATCAGGGAGTTTTTTAAATGTCATCTCTGCCAGAGCACATCACACATGCTATGTCTTTGACTAGAAAAATGAAAAGTGGGCTTTGACACAAAAAAATGAAAAGTAGGTGTGCTAACACCCACTGTGTAAGGATCCCTTGGGAACTAAGCAAGCTTGCATGTCCTAAGTACTTGCTTTCTACCTGGGGCCTAATACATCTCTCTCAATGGTAGCTATTGTTCAGAGGGTCAAAACAGAAGCGTGTGCAGAAGATATCAATGGCACAGATTTTAAATAGACTAGAGTTTGAAAGGGGGAAATTCATTTTCTACTGGAATCATCTAGAAAAGCTGCAATGGACAAAACAGGATAGGAGCCAGTTTGAATATGGCGGCTAGAATGTGAATACTAGAGAAGGGATGGAAGTCCCTGAGCTGGGACAAGCAGCAAGTGAGGGGAGAGATCTGTCTGCAGTAGGGGCTGGTTCATGCTTCCTGTATGCCGGGCATACAATAGGGGCTGGTTCATGCTTCCTGTATGCCAGGCATACTGTGCCTGTCTTGGTTAGGTTCTCCAAGGACCTTTATTAGAATGAGATATTAGCCAAGGTTTTCCAGGGGGAAAAGAGCCAATAGAATAAACATTTGTCAGCTATAGGCGGTGTAACAAAACCCCGTGTTAAGGTAGCCTAATGCACAGAAATATACCTTCTACGGTGCTGGAGGCTGGAAATCAGACATTGGATGTTGAGGACCCACTTCCTGATCTGCAGGTGACAGTCTATTAAGTGATCTATTTACTCACAGGCCACTAATCCCAAAAAGACAGTCCCACCGTTATTAACTAACCTAACCAAATTCCCTCCCAAAGGCCCTGTGGTGGTTTGAATGTAATTGGCCTCCACAATCTCATAAGGAGTGGCACTATTAGGAGCTGTGGCTTTGCTGGAGTGGGGATGGCCTTGTTGGAGGAAGCAGGCTTTGAGGATTCTTATGCTTAGTGCCTCAGTTGACTTCCTTTTGCCTGCAAGATGCAGACTCCCAGCTATCCCTCCAGCACCACAGCTGACTGCATACCACCATGCCCCCTGCCATGATGATAATGGGGTGAACCTCTGAAACTCAATTAAATGTTTTGCTTTATAAGAGTTGCTATGGTCATGGTGTCTCTTCACAGCAGTAGAAAACCCCAACTAAGACAGGTCCATCCAAATACCATCACACTGGGGGACATGGCTTCACCATGTGACTCTGAGTGAGGGGACACAGACACTCGGTCCATAACAGGTGTGTAAATGTATAGGAGAGCTATACCAAAAGGACTTATTTCACAAGTGAGAGCAGTCTCTGAAGTTCAAACACTTCTGAGAGAAGCCACAGGTTGGACATTCAGGAGTTACAGTTTGAACCCTGAACTGCAATGTGCTCCTGGTTCCGGAAGAGCCTGTCTAGCACAGGCTGGACACTGCTAGGGAATTCTCTGACTCATCCTTCAGATAGCCTTCCAGTCTTTAGACATTCATAATCCTTCACCCTACTGCTCTCTACTCAAAACTCAATGGCTTAAAATGTAAACCTCATCTAAAAACACCCTCACAGGATAATGTTCCATTGAATGCCTAGGTGCCGAGGCCCAGTTAAGATGATATAAAAAAAAAGTAGTCACCACAGGTGGATTACCTTATTTCATTTTTTATGCTCTTTTGATAACAGAAATATCCCTAACATATTGAAATTATTTTCCCTGATAACTTAATTTATTTATTTTATAGGGAATGCTTAGCTACAATTTTCAATCCTATATCATTGTAGACAATAATAAATGATTTTATTTAGCTTGTAGTGAGGCAGATCATATAATTTCAAAAACCTTACCAATGTATTCTATCAGTACTACAAATGTGTTCACCTAAGAGGCATGGTCGTTAGGGAAGACTTCTAGGATCCTGGGTTTTCTGGAAGAATTTTGTAGAAACCAGAGGTTTGTCAGAAGGATGTCAACTTTTTAATGAAATCTAGAAATAAATGTTGTTCCTGTGATCATTTAGGAGAGCATTTATACAGAGAGCACAATGGCAATATCCACACAGGTGGTTTTTATTTATTTTTTTATTTTTTGGTTTTTTAAGACAGGGTTTCTCTGCATTGTTTTGGAGGCTGTCCTGGAACTCGCTCGGTAGACCAGGGTGGCCTCGAACTCACAGAGATCCGCCTGCCTCTGCCTCCCGAGTGCTGGGATTAAAGGCGAGCGCCACCAACGCCCGGCCACAGGTGGTTTTTAATTCCGCATTATACATGGAGAAACTGAGGCTGGGGGATTAGGCATCTTACCATAGCCAAGATGGTAATACAGCCACAGTCTGTCTGAATCTGTAATGCATGTGTTTTAGAGGCTGTATTGAGCCAAGAAATTCGTTTTACTAGGACATTTCGATCCAGGAGAAAGACTTGGAAGAGCATGTGGTTCAGGGTATCCCACAGTTACCACAGGGCTCCCATACAAACACTCGTTTATGTTTCAGGAGTAAATAGTGGAGAGGCAAAGGGATGGGATAAAATGTCATTTTTCTGAGGAATTATGGGTGAAAAACGGAACCAGTTCTTGATATTTCCTTACTCCTCACTCTGTCTTATCACCAGGCTATTAACAACAGTGAGCAATAGCCATGCATGCTTATGAAAACTGAATGTCCTAATATTAAATTTAAAAGTCAATCTTTCCATTGCTCTGGCCATCTTTTAGATGTTAAGCAGCCACAACAGCTAGAGTCTCTGCACTGAACAGCAGAGACCCAGAGCATTCGTCATTACAGAAAGTTCTCCTGGCCCATGCTCTCCTCCAGAGAATCTGCTGATACGCCCATCACAGGACGTGTCATGCCTTTGTGAGCATATATATATACACCCCTTGCACTTTTGGGATAAATTATGAGAAAGCATGCAACTATAGACCCAGCCAATCTCTCCATCCAGGACCTTTCTCACATAGAGTGGATCAGTGGAAGCCTGGTCCTCAGGGGCATGCTCTTGCCTCATGGAAGCAGAATAGTGATGTGTTCTGGATCCCTCCATGGACCAGAGGTGCCACTGACAATTGGCTCCATTCAAACTATAAAATCTAACAAGCTCCAGATGCACAGGTAGTAGATTTAAGGTCCTGTCAATATGGACACTAAGGTCTGAAATGAAACACTTGGCGTTCGATTTGGCTAAAATGTTAAATTCACAATTTATTGGCTCAATAAAAGATGAATGCTAAGAGTCAATTTTCAGGTTGGAGCCTCTGAACGTGTGTATGTGTGTGAAAACATATGTACAGGCTTCTCAAGGCAAAGTTAACAGCATTAAAAAAAAAAGCTGTTCAAACTAGAGCTTCAGTGGGAAGAATCATTTTTAATGGACCCAAAATGTTGTTCATGGTAGTGTACAAGTAGGTACACAAAACTTTTTCCTGTGTTGGATGATAAGGCAAAGTTGCTGATAAGCTGCAATATCTGTGAGGAGGAAAGAGAGACAGTGGAAGAAATTGGAGCTGTCAGAAATGTGAGCTTTCCCAGGGGCTGTGACACTGCCTTCCAGTGTTTTCTTCTGGCAGGGAAGGTTGAAAATTCACTGTTACAAACGATCAGCCTCGGTGGAAAGAGAAACCTGGCGGCTCTGGAGCTGAGGAGGGAGTTGAGAAGGCAATCGCAGTCACAGTGAATGTTTGGCTCAATGTATGGCTGGCAGTTAAAAACAAAACAAAATTTGCTGTTCCTGATGCATGCGAATCATAAAAAACGGCAACAGTTTCAGCTCTCCTGTCCTGTTCTGATGTGGAAATGGGGAGGTAGAGGAGATACAGTTCCCCTTCTTCCTCCCAAGGAGCATAATGAAACGCGAATCTCACAGACAAAAGAAACGGACCTTGAAGAAAAGGAACTGTTGGGGGCTGGAGGAACAAAAGGCGGTAATTTTCCTTGACTCGTGTTTTGCTTCGGAAGTCTCCGACATGAAGTGGAGGAAGCCGGACATACATAACGCCATCCAACATCCAACACAGCAATGAAACAGTAAGTTCCAACAAATACGAGTAGTATACAGGGAAATAACTAGACAACCGCCTCCCCGCTCCAGCCAACCACAGAAAAGTTATGGCGCTGCTTCTGCTGGTGCCAACAAAAGTGGGTGGAGCCAAGACGTTTATCTTTCAGAGCATGTACCCAGGCACCCAGTAGGGATCCAACTCAGTCCCACATCCACTTCCAGATAGGAAGACCGCCTGTTGGATGATGTAAGGTTGTCCTGGGAGACCTAGTGGGTGTTGATGATGACCACTAGCGACAGCAGTAACCAAGGTACGTACACCTCTTGGGTTCTCAGCAGGAACAGAACATTGCTACCACCCTTCCCAGAAGTCAGATAGAGTGGAGGTCTCACACCCGCCTAGTAGTTGTGACCCCTTGGAGTATTGAGGGCTGAGGCAGAAACAGGACAAGAGTGCTGTGGGTTTGGTGGTGAAGGGGCACCATGAGGGATGCTTGTGGGAGAGGAATGGTCACTACTGACTGTGTCCGTATCTTGGTCATGACCTTGTGCTATACTGTTAGCTTTGAGTAAAACCAGGTTTAAAAAAAAAAAAACAGCTTGGGATCACTGTACCATTTTTTAGAATTGCATGTACAACTGTAGCTATCTCAAAATAAAGTATGTAATTAAAATGGTAAATCATACACCCTCTAAGATAACTTTGTAAATTATAATCATATCTGATTTTTTAATACCTTCCCCACCTCCAACATAAAACTCTTTAAAATGCAATATTTTCTGTTAGAAAATTACGTTGGACAATGGAGGATAATTTAATTCTAAACCATGGTTGTATATGTTTCATTTAACATTTTTGGATTCTTTGGAAGCAAGTGCATTGTAACAGTCATCACTAAAACTCCTCCTCTCCCACCCCCACCCCTGGCATTTGTAAGTCTAGGGTATGCCCCAGCTGTCAGGACAGGCCGCTATGCATACTATTGCATTTTGTGACTATAACAAAATAATACCATTATTATGTCATTGACAAAAACAACACCTGTTCCTTTAAATCAGTGTTTCTAATGTAGGAGGACTGTGTGAGCATAAGAGAGACACAGATGAGCTACTTGGTAATGAGAAGGTAAGAATTATTTATTTGGAAATGAACATTTTTCTTTTCCCCATCTCCTACTGCCTGGAACCAATCTATGTGCTGTGCTTGGAAAAACAATGATGGGCCATGGCGATTGCTTTTCCACGGCTCTGGCAGCTGTGTGTGAGACCTGGAGGCGGGAAAAGGTGTTTGCTGAAAGAGCATCTGCTTTATTGAAAACGCAGCTGAAGGCTTTGCCGACAGGACTGCCTCAGAGTCAAGGGCAATGACAGCCAGGTCTCACTTTGTAGTACTCAAAACCTGCCATAAGCATGGCTTTGGAATCAGATGCTACCCCCACCGTCCTCAAGGCCGAATGTCTTTGTGCAGAGAACGGGTAAAATTGGTGTGACTGACATCTGTGAAGAGAAACTTTTATAAACTATCTTCAAAGACGCTTACAAGATACAACAGCCCTTTCTCAACACGGCTGTGGGATGCAATGATGTAAATAAATACAAAAATGGCTATTAAATTTCCATTCTACTTCATGCACATGGGTTTAATATTAATAATTAAGGAAGGAAAACTGGCAAAACACATGTAAAACTTAGCCAAAACCCAAATGGTTGAAAAATAAATCAAGATTTTTCTGAAAACATAGACCACTACTGGGTTTGTTCATCCCTGGTGACAAGAAACTTAGAAACTGAAACTAACTCCATTTTACTTTCCTCTTTGCCCCAGCAGATGCTGTAGTTCTCTCCTGCCAAGGAGCCAGTGGATTGGCCTTTGGTGCCAAGAACAAAGCGTGGGTCTCCACATGGCCACCATTCTGTGGAGACAGCACACTCAGATTCCACAGGGTAGAAATGTCTGCTCTCCAGCCCCAACCAGATGACAGATTCTAATTTTCTTAACCTTGTGCTCAAAGGGCAAATCATCTCACACTTTGGGGTTGGAATAAATTATCCTCAAGCCCAAAGCATCCTCAGTTTGAATCTGTCTTGTCTTGGAGTCCATATGATGGTATTACGAGACCTAATATAATTGTGTGATGAGACTGATGCCCACTGTTGTTATGAAACCGACACAGGAAGGCAGAAAGTTGAACTGGAGTCAAGCTTGGTTAGTTGAGAATGTAAAGGAGAGGAGGATGTTTGCAGTGAGTTCCTGCCTATCTGTTTAGCAGGTTTGTACAGTTGAGGTTTAGTGGAAGAGATAGGAAATAGGAATACAGAATTCATAAAATATCTCCAGCCAGGTTTCACGTTCTTCTCTAAATCCGAAATGTCATCCAGAGGCCCCTGTTTGATTGAATATTAGTTCCTTAGCTTTGGGCACTATTTGGGGAAGCTGTAAACCTTTAGGAGCTGAAGAGTAGCAGACAGTGTAGGCCCCCAGGAGTGTGGTACTCTAGAAGTTATACCCAGCCTCTAGTTCCTGCAGCTTTCTCCTCCTCCTGTGAAGAGCCTCTGCCACATACCCCAACTGCAAGAAAATCTGTGTCTTCACAGGTGTAATGGACTGAACCCTTTGAAACCATGAGCCAAAATAAGTACTTCCTCTCTTAAGTTATTTCAGGAATTTTGGTCACAATACCAAAGGAACTCTGATGTCGTCTAATCTTCATACTGAGTAGATATTGCCATCCTCCAGATGAGGGAACCATGGCTCAGCGTGGGGGTGGGGAAGGGTGGTGCCCAGTCAGGAGTGGCTAAGAGGTAGCTAGGACTTAAATCTAGCATCCTGAGCTCAGCGCTCAGCGCTCTGCCGTTGCTGAGGTAGGACAGAATCATTCAGAGGGGAGGGCCCTGCAGCTGACTGGATGCTGCGGTGTACATTCAGTGCTTAAATACACACTGACATGGTGACGAAAGTGCATGCTCTCTCAGAGCTGCACTGCTCAGACTCACATTGCTAAGCCAAGAGCTCACTGCCACCTTCCACCAGTTTGGATTTTCACTGAGAGACAATGTGGACCACAACATCCCTATGTGAAGATCTCAGACTCTCCTGATTTATAGAGCTCACAATCACATCAGAGCTGTCAAATGCCATCTCTGAAAAAAATGTCTCAAAATATATTTTTAGGATTCATTGCACCTTACTAACATTTGTATTTTCACTGACAAAACAGACATAAATACCCAAAGGTTTAAAGAACCTTTAATTAAAAAGTATCTAGTCTTCGAATTCAAATTTGTACAAATAAGCTAAGTTGTCAATATATAGTTGAGAATGTGTTCTATCCTGGTTCAAATACAAGTCTGTAGTTGGCTTTTTTTAAATTACTTTGTTTCATATTAACTGAAGAAACCAATTCCCCAATATTTATTTGAATAAGAAGTCAATCCAACTGGCTCTACTAATATCAAAAACAGTTTTTTGTATAATCTATAATAAAAAGGAGTTTGCTCTGCACTGTTTCATAATTTGGAAACCTTTTATTGAAACTATAAAGTCAAATGTTGAAAACCAATTAGACCTATGGTAACTATAAATTCTGAGTCAAACAAAAGTCAAAGAAAACAAGCTCAGCATCTTAGGGTTTCTACTGCTGTGAAGAGACACCATGACCATGGCAACTCTTATAAAGAAAAACATTTTATTGAGGTGGTGGCTTACAGTTTGAGGTTCAATCCTTTATCATCATGGTGGGGAGCACGGTGCAGGCAGACAGTGGTGCTGGAGCTGAGAATCCCACGTCTTGCAGGCAAAAGGAAGTTGACTGAGACACTGGGTGGTAACCTGAGCACAGGAAAGTTCAAAGCCAGCCCCCATAGTGACACACTTCCTCCAACATCTAGAACTGGAGTTACAGTCAGTTGTGAGCTGCCATGTAGGTGCTGGGAATTGAACCTAGATGCTCCGGAAGAGCAGCCAGTGCTCTTTACTACTGAGTTATCTCCCCAGCCCCACTGCTTTTTGGTTTTGTTTTATTTTCTGATTTCATGTGGCAAGAATAACTAATTAGAAAAGCATTCAGGCTCTGAAGAGATGGCTCAGCAGGTAAAGGATCTTATACCAAAGCAAAAGGAACAGGGTTCAGACCCCCATGTAAAGCAGGGTGTGTATGATGGCTTACCTAAAATTCCAGGAACTGAACTCAGGTCACCATGCTTGGCAGCAAGCACCTTTACCCACTGTATTGCATTGTTGGCCTAAAACAGATGTCATTATGTTATTTTAACTTACGACTTAAAGATTTGGCATAAAAGAACATTCAATAAAATGTTGGGAACAACACTTCAGCAATGAGAGAAAATAGTTCTTTGGATCTAGAGACTGCCTTTCTACTATTCTGAGACTTCCTAGAAGTAGACAACGTTTCTAGAGAGAAGAAAATGATAAGGAGAGTAGACAGGGAAGGCAGCTATGGATGGAGACAGGAGAAGCAGAGAAGTAAATGGGTCAAAAGGGAAAAACTCACAGGACAAAAAAATGAGCCAGGAAGATGTAGGGAGAGATCTCTCGTACCCTTAGCAATGACCACGCCCACTTGAGCATGGTCACAGGTGCATGGGGGAGGCAGGGAATAAAGGCCAGGGAGGAGAGATGCTCAAGCTCTCTTGCTGGGGATTCGAGTCGTGTCTCAGAAGCCGCTGAGACCAACTTGGGTTGCTGGTTTCTCTTGTAAGTACCTTCCACAATAAATAGTCATCTTTACCCTTCTAAAGTGTGTGATTCATATTTCAGGGACAGGAAGAAAAGCACCTTTGGGTCATGGTGGATTACAACCTAAATTCAAGTCAGTGCTCTATCTAGAAGGGGCTTTAAGAGGTTGGTCTCTTGGCTCAGTAGTCACCGTATCATGTTTTGTTTGTAGAATTTTTAAACTAAGCATGTTCTCTCTCTCTCTCTCTCTCTCTCTCTCTCTCTCTCTCTCTCTCTCTCTCTCTCTCTCTCTCTCTCTCTCTCATACCCAATATTGTACTCACAAAAGGCTACCCTTTTGGTACTCTTTCATGATACTACTTGGAAAACAATGTTGATAATCCTGTGTTGGTCTCCAAAACCATTCTAGAAATTGCACGGGTTGGTGAAATCCAGAAGTCTAGTGTCACTGGCCCAGTATTTCATGGATCCATTTAATCTTACTAAAGTATCATGGGATGTGTTTAAATCTACTCAACTGGAAAGTTCCCTGGCAACTGAGACAAAAGCCAGTCTCCAAATGTCTGGCTATGTCCAAGCTCAACTCAGTGCCAGGTGACCCACTTGTCTGACATTTTCAAGTGACTTGGATAGGAAGGCGGCATACCATGGGCACAGGCCAGGTAAATCTGAAAACCAGGCCTCACACGTGACTTGAAGAGAAAATCATTAGCTCATTTCCCTGCATCATATATTGACAAATTCAAAGATGGAGCAGGCTGGCTCTCAGAAGAAACAGCAGGAAATGATTATTTAGGATTAAGAGTCTTGTTTCTAGACATATGTGGTAAAATATTGTCCAGATTAATTTTATTTGCTTCCTTTGATGAAGCCAAATTAACTTAAACCAACTGTTAGAAGAACTGCTGGTTATTAACACTAATGTCACATAGTTTAAAATATTCACCCTAGAGGCTTCTCTGTTAAAAATTCCAAAGTGCCTTTAATAATTAAGAATCACTGTAGTAACAACATTCACTAGGAATTACACCTTGGTAGATTCTAAAATATAATAGAAATTTCAGAAAGGAAATTCCTCCCCCATTCACCTCCTCTGCTCTCTCAAGGAAGAGGAGTGCATTTCAAAGTCATGGATTCTAGCTGGACAGTGAAGAAAAGTACTAAGCCAAGTTAGGGACTCACTCAGCACCACTTTCTGGAAGGACTAGATAGTAGCATTTCCTCAAGTCTACAGCAGAAAACTCTCCTCATCAGAGAAAGAGCAGAAAGACTTTGACAACGGCAAAGCTACATGTCAATTGTTGACAACACATTATTTCTGAGTTGTGTCCCTGAGTGTGTTTCTGGCTGACGTTAGTGGTTAAACCCATACATCAGGGAAAGACGGCTGCTGTCACCAACATCAGAGGACAACATCCAATTTGAGGGGGCAAATTTGCTCCCACTGTGACATCCACCTTCTCAACCCCCAACACCAAAGCCCTTGTTTTCAGGCCTTTGGACTTTGACTAGCAGTGACACCGTCAGCTCCCTGATTCTCAAACATTTCGGTTTGTTCTAGAATGACATCAGCAACTTCTTGAGGGCATCAACCTACAGACAGCAGATCTTTTAAAGCCTCCATGAGCCAACCCTCATGATAAATCTCTTTCTGTACCTTTCCATATCCTACTAGTTCTGATTCTCTAGAGAAAACTAACATAGACTTTGGTGAATCCCATTCAGGCAGAATCACACTGCTAACATCCTTAACGTGTAGATTGGGTGTGTGCAAACACACACACACACACACACACACACGCTTTTAATTTTATTCTCTTTTGGACCCTCATTTCCCTTATAGAAGCTCTTGGCCCCCAAACCACATTGGACTACATGTACACATAGCAGCTGTCAATCACACACAGAGGGATTAGCTGGTGTGTCCAAAATGTTGCCACACCACATCATCCATGAACAAGGTACCACTTAAGAGGTAAAGAGCCCAGCTTGGGCTAAGGGACTCTTTAACCACTCAGTAGCTGTGTGAGCTCAGTCAGTCATTTACCGCCTATAGCCTCTGCTTCCTCATCCATTAAAAAGCAGTAGAAACCGGCTCCGTTAAGTTCCCCTGAAGCCTTAATATTCAAGCTCTGTACAAGTACAAATGACTTCATTACTGCCACCAACAAAAACCCAGCCGGAGGGTTAGCAGAATCTGTGGCTGACCGTAGCCAAACTTAGACTTTAATGTGGGGTTCCTTTTACAGTTGGTTTGGAATATAATCAAAACCCAAAAGGAAGTTAGATTCCAATCCCTAAGTAGGTCCAGCCATCGTATTCTAAGTACAAAAGATAGACTTGAAAGCCCTAGGCTAGAGGGGAACT